GGCAGGACCCTATTACTAAGACTCCGCTGTCTCAATGTTTTGCCCTTTGGGTACGGAACCCTAAAAATGAACTCATATTTCTAACCTACAAACATAATTTATGACGTCAGTCAGTAGCAAATCCTTAAAGTACAGAGGTAAATAGTTCTTTACCAGTCAGACTATAGCCCAGTCCAACTATAGCTACTGATCGAGCCGAGGTCCTGCTCTCTCGGGCACCCTCGAATCGAAATGCTACACGAGTATCGAGTGACAGCTCAAGCCCAGGTCCCCTTTCGGGGGTCCGTGAGCCTAGTCACTCCATGGAGTCCACCAGAAGTCCGGTGGATTTGTGAAGGCTTCCCAAGGCCAACTGTAGTAGATCCTGCCAAGAAAAATCTGTATCAAGAGTTTAATTCTACATACATATACTGACCTATTCAAATAACTTTATTAATAATATTAGCCACTTGCACAAGTGTAGAGCCGTGATAGCTCAATGTCCGGGCGCTCACCTTTAATTCAATATACTCGAGCAACCTGAGTTCGATCCCCGGTGCCGGCACTAAAGTGCTGAATTATCACGTGCTCAGCGGCGAAGGAAAAACCTCGTGAGGAAACCTGCATATTTTCGAAATAATAATAAAAAATATATATATTTTGAAGATATGTGAAGTCCGCCAATCCGCAGTGGGGCCCCGTGGTGGACTATGCCCTAATACCCTCTGTACAGAGGAGGCCTTTGCTCATTAGTGGGACATGTATGGGCTGATACTTTACTTTTTTACTTTACGTGCACAATATTACATAGTCAAGGATATTATTGCTTTGTTCAATATTGGATTAAGATAATAAATAAAATAGACATTTTGTTAAAAATATTGAAAGCGTCACAGGGATAATTCGAGCGTTGTTTTCGTGCACGAGTAAAGGAAATAAATGCGATAAAGGTTAGAGTGCGAAGCCAACAAACTGTTTGAAACATTTCTGTTTTTAGAGTTATTATGACGGTCCGTAGATATGATAGTTACTTCGAACGATCATAATAACTCTAATAGGCAGGATTGCGATATTAAGGAATTCGAGTCCTAGTAGGGCTTTTGAGATTTTCCTTATACATAAATTATTCACTGTGTAACGCCTTTGCCCGTAGGCTCATTTCCCAATACCATCGGGACGAGGTATTATTTTTTATGTAGAAAAGCATCTGCTACTACCGTAAGGTTGCAGATGCTTTGCCAACTTATAATAAAATTGGTCCCGACTAGCTCACCCACCAGACGAAACGCTGAAGTATGACACTTCCACTTCACTTCATGTATAATGACAGTTATCTTCTTTCTTCAACGATAAAGGGATAACTAACATTATACATTTATCGTTGTAAATATAATTTACTCACATTCGTATTTTATATATTTTCATAATCGGAATTTTTAACTGAAATATCGCGATAAATTCGCCAGCCATTTGAATGATATGTTAAATGAAGGTAAAATTTCCGCAGCCCACTACTTTTATATAGCAAACAGAAGAAAAATTTAAACGACAGAAAACTATAGAGACATATCACTAACTAAGTAATCAATAAAAAAAAATTGTTAGTCACCTATATTTTAAGAGAAAAAAACGTAATTAAATCTTGTTATTGTCACTAAGAAAATCCGCCATTTTACTAGTGTCAACATTTTCACATTTAAAAACCTTCCGTAAAACACTGTCTTGTCCACACTTAAAACATTCAAATTTCTTTACAAGAATTCATGATAACACAAAAAATTAAAAAGCACTGAACGATTTGATTGGAATAAATTTTTATTAAAAAAATAAGACTAATACAATAATGTAGGTATAAACATATTTGATTAATATAAATGAGCGGGAAATACTTTTGGTTTTAAATTTGACATACAATTAGGCATCAAAAATAATGATACAGCCAATATGCTAATATCGATTTCGAAACTCGATTACAAATTTTATTAAAAGCCCTTAACGTCACCATGGTGAAATATAAACTGATACAAATTGAATTTGACTTTACTTAACTCAAGCTGATAGGTTTTATCCGTGATTTTTATGTAAAGTCAAAATTAGTCACAGATCTGACACAGAGCACCACGACTCCATGTGGTCTTGTGGTCCCTACCCCTAGAGTGAACATAAAAAGGCGGAGCCAGAACCTCGCGTCGGAGGTCTCAGGGGCGACATAGCGAGTGTTCTGGCGAAGCACGTGGGAGAGTCAAACTTAATAATTAAGTCTTTTTTTGTATTCTATTCTATTTTTTTTTATATTTCTTATATTTTTGATTTTTATTTATTATAATTACATGCTTTTAAAATCTTCATCTCTATTTTTTTTGTAAAAATTGTTTGAAATATTCAAAATTTATTACTTCATTGTAGTTTGACTCTTCTCCGCCTTTTTATGTTCACTCTAGGGGTAGGGACCACAAGACCACAGGGATTGGGGGTGCTCTGTGTCGTATCTGTGACTTATTTTTAATGTAACTTAGTCATTTTACAGATTTATAAAAATCACGTATAAAACCATCAGCTTGAGTTACGTAAAGTAGAATTTAATTTAAATCAGTTTATAATAAATATACCATGGTAACATTAAGGGCTTTTAACAAAAAGATTTTATAAAATTTGTAATCGAGTTTCGAAATCGATATTAGCATATTTTGGCTGTATCAATATTTTAGTGCCAAATCGTATATCCAATTTATAACCAAAAGTATTTCCCGCTCATTTTATAATAATCAAATATGTATATACCTACATTATTGTGCTTCGTAGTATTTTTTAAGAAAAAGTTATTCCAATCGGAATCAAATCGTTCAGTACTTTTTAGTTTTTTGTGTTGTCATGAATTCTTGTAAAAACATTTGAATGTTTTAAGTGTGGACAAGACAGTGTTTTACGGAAGATTTTTAAATTTGCAAATGTTAACAATAGTAAAATGGCGGATTTTCTTAGTGAAAATAACAAGATTTAATTACGTTTTTTTCTCGAAAACTGTAGATGACTATCAAATTTTTTTTAATTGATTACTTAGTGATATGTCTATTGTTCTCTGTCGTTTAAATTTTTCTTTTGTTTGCTATATAAAAGTAGTGGGCTGCTAAAAATTTACCTAAATAAGTAAACAATAAAAACAAAATTTAAATTTCCGATAGCACAGAGTTTTAAAAACGACTGCAGCGAACATTTGGTAACATTTCGCAACGCAGTCATACTGCGGACAGCGATAATAAGTTGTGTTCAATCAAGGTTTTCTTTACATCTTTCGACCGTTACGCAGATCTAATGCTATCCACGGTGCATAGAGCTCAAACAGTCTCGAACGTGACAGGTGATGAGTTCGTCGCATTACACGACACGAGACACAGCTGTTTCTGCGCGTAAGACCCCCGAACAATGCAAAAGTCGTGGATGTATAGCACTCGAATTTGATTCCGTAATGTTAAAAAGCCCGACGCGACCGCACAACGGCAAACCTATGAGTGACTTAATAAGAACGATTAGATACATAAATAAAACATAGTAAAACCGGTATTTCGAGAATTTTTGTTTGGCTAATTCAAAGATTTTGCGAACACAGAAAAACAAAACGACCCCATACTACTATCATAGTCATATAAGTGTATAATCGCTAAAAATAAATACCACGACATAAAGTTTCTAAATAAAATAAACATGGTCAAATTAAATTACTTTAGTAAATTAACAAGTATTTTTATTTTATTTTATTTATTAATCACAAGTATTCAACGATATTTCTTCTGAGATCTGCATTTTTACGACGAGTTAATGACCCAGGTCTATCAATTGTGCCACAATTTAAATAAATGCATTTCTACTTCGAAAAAGTGATTTATTCACTTTTTCGAAGTAGAAATGTAGTATACCTGAAAAGAAAACGGTAATTAACTATTAGGTGTGTGTATAATTGCCACGTTTGTTTACAAATCCGCTATTTATGTACGTATTCATTCGATGCAGACTACACACTGTTCTCCTAATACTCCTATAGCGGGAGGTAACGTTACCGTCAAATTAGACAGACATCAGCAACAATCAAAGTCGAGGAAACGTTAAATTACCATCAAACGTATCACACCAGCCATAAAATCGCCGTGAATGCGTAACTCCTATTTTGAATTTCCCATACCTGTTACGACTAGATTTAAAAATAGGAAATCATACTTTAAAGAATAACTAAATATGTTAGTTTCATTTGCTGTGTTACACAGATTTCAAATAATCCAAATATTATTGAATGATTCCCGGAAACTTTAATAGCGTCTTGCAACTAGTATTAATCTCTTCGCGTTACTATTAGCTAGTTTCCCTTGTCCCTGACCCGACTTCATCGTAAAGCTTTCACGACAAACTAGGAAGGCGATGACATACTTCTTTATTTAAGAGGAAATACAGAAATAAAATAGCCGTCGCAATTCCGTGCTCTTTATACAGTAGTCGCCTACAAGTCGCTTCCAAGAAGTCCAGAAGCTTTGAATTGAAAAACATTTGGTGCAATTTATTGCATCCGTAAACATTCATGCATTAATCATACTATTCCTAAGGATTACTGGAATTGTTACACATGATAATTGTTATATTTGTGTTTTTTAATTGCAAAGATATATTTTACAATGGCCAGAACGTTCCTTCAATGTTCTCTATTATGAAGTTAATTTGAACAAATTTATATTTGTAAAGTAATAATTTCAAGCAACATTTACCTGCCACAATCATTTCTTATCAGAATTTAGATGACAAGTGGGTTTAGTATTACAAATAGACTACTCTTACTTAACCAAACAGCAATGAAATAAACTTTTGATTTGTAAGCGTTTGTACTCTCGGAAACCATATAAATTTTTCTAAATGTCACTAAAAACTGAATGAAGTTTAACGTGATTATTATTTTATTACAGAATGCACGAGGAAGAAGTGAAAACAGAAAAAGTAGAGTTCCTTGCACGATACGCAAATACTCCCGGAGACCGCCGATGTTTGTTCTGGAAGTCTTATCGCTTGATAAGTTAGAACACAAGCCTCGAGCAAACAACCTTATCATGGTAACATTCTCATTGGAGACACAAAAGTACTCCACAGAATCCGTTGCAATCAGCCGTGACGCACGGTGTACCTGGAAATATCAGTAAAAAATTTCACCAAGGTTCCTCAATAACCTCGGTAATTATGGAGGAAATTTTGTTGTTTATAAATGTGTATCTGAAAAATTTCTAGTGGAAGCAGTTGGAGTGCAAATTTTCATGCCAAAGATAAAACCAAATTTGTATAAAGTACTAGTCAAGTGAAACTACTTCAAACTGGAGGACCTACAAACTTTGGAGGGCGCTGAGAGCGTTGTCGAGAATGGCAGCACCAGGGCCCAGGAATGTTTGGAAAAGAACCTCAATCTGTCGGAAAATTTCTGTCCGGCTTATTACGACGGCCTTCTATGCTGGGATCCCACGCCGTGGTACACCTTAGCTGTGCAAAAGTGTTTTAGTGAGTTCCACGGCGTCCAATATGACGACACCCGTAAGTATAGTATACGATGTTACAAGTCTTATTTTTTCGTGTTTAATTCGTTAAAATATTTCATTCTTTTCATGTACAAATATTTTATCGGTCAAACTTTTCTTTCTCCTCCGCCAGTAACTTTTGTTTTGATAAAACTGAATTATTTATCACTGTCACCGCAATCAAGTATTATTTTCGCCACAAAAACTTTTTGTTTGGGAAATACTTTTAAGAATCATATTTTACGCCGCCTCTGTCCAAAACAATTTCGCTTGTTTGTTACGAATTCTCGGGATACTCACCATTTTACTTTTTATTTTACATTTCGCTTTCGCTCCTAGAGAGATATAGTGTCATCGGTCACACGGCTAACAAATATGGAGAAATACAGTGAGGTTTTAGCTTAAATAATGAAATTTAATTGGCTGAAACAGTCAAGATGTTACTTTTAATTTTTAAATACACATTCCTGCGCAATTAATACTAGTTACTTACGCATAATTTTTACCCCAGCATTTTTTGCTTAATAATCCGTATAAAACACTTTTTCATAAATAGTGATAGGAATTCAAACCCACCAGTTATGAAAAAATTAACTTGTGAAGAACACTTTCTTCATAAACAGGGACAGCAATTCAAACCCACTAGCTATGAAAAAGTGAATTTGTGAAGAACTAATGAAAAATGCAATGCAATGCGTCGAATATGAAAGCGAACATTTGCCTTATTCAAATATTTCTAATCTCTCTTCTATTCACAGAGAACGCGTCACGTTTGTGCTTGGATGGCATGTGGCATAACTACTCCAACTATGTAAACTGCACAGAGCGTATTGCAAACGTATCGCCTACAGATGTGGCTAGCCTCATTTACTTGGCAGGCTATTCTCTCAGCCTCGCCGTCCTATCACTTGCCGTGTTTGTTTTTCTCTATTTTAAGTAAGTTTAGATAAACACATTGTATTTGTAGATGGAAGTCATTATAAAAAAATATGTATATAGTGCGAGTTGAACTCGCGCACAAAGGGTTCCGATCATTGTCTATAAAAACGGAGAAAAATCACGTCCGTTATATGGGAGCCCCATTAAAATATTGTTATTTTGTTTTTTTACTATTTTGTTGTTATAACAGCAATAGAAATACATCATCTGTGAAAATATCAACTGCCTAGCTATCACGGTTCATGAGATACAGCCTGGTGACAGACGGACAGACAGACAGACAGCGAAGTCTTAGTAATAGGGTCCCGTTATATACCTTTTGGGTACGGAACCCTAAAAATGTGAATTTGAAGTATAGCATTTTTACAAAGTATGAAATGAAAGAAAAATATCAAGTTTGTCTTTTTCACGTTTCCGCGGTAAAATATTTTAAATATTTTTTTCTTTTATTTTTTCAGGGATTTAAGATGTCTTAGAAATACTATACATACAAATCTTATGTCTACATATATCTTATCAGCCTGTAGTTGGATGTTAAACTTAGCTTTACAAGTAAGTCAAAAGTGTTGCTTCCTTACGTGTAAAAATTAGCTTACCTAGTTATATTTTATCTACTATCTTATATTTATAATATTTTGAAAGTTTAAAACAGAACTATAAATCCGGTTGTTTTGTTGCAATAATTTTATACTAGTGATTATAATGTATTAAAGTATCTTAAACCTTCAATGCCAATGGTTACTTGAAAAGATAAATGTTGTAAAACAAAAGACATCACGTAATTTTATACGACAGAGAATTATCCCAATCTCAATTATATCAATTGTACCAATAAATTCATTGTCTTCGATTTGTTATTCCACATAGCTTTGTAATTTTATTTCTTATATGTTTCCTTTAAAACATCACTGATTTGATATTATAATTATCTTAGTAAAATATTTATCTGTACGTCTACAGATAAATATTTTACACATATTTTTAATTTTGAGAACATGATCATATTATTAACTTTCTTTGCGTATTAATATTACTATTTCTTTTAGAACTGGTCAGATGAAGCTCAACAAGAGCAAACCTCTTGTATGATACTTGTGATATGCATGCATTATTTCTACCTCACTAATTTCTTCTGGATGCTTGTTGAAGGTAATAATAGAATTAAATAATCTGTTAACTCGTCAAATTTTGTTCTGATAAAATAAGTTAGATAACTATAATGTACATATGATTGATATGTAAATTATATCATTATAATAAGAACAAGTTATCAAAATTATATGCTGCATTAAAAATAGAAAGTTTCTTTATTCTGGAGGTATAGGTGTCAAATATTATAAAAATAAAATTCTGCCTCTACATAAAAAGAAATGACATATGGAAACTGAAATAAATAATTTTATGAAAATGTAAGTTTTTCACGGTTTTATAAACGTTTATTGTTGAAAATTTACGTTTCTTCAAATTATCTTACTGTCGTCGTGGTTTATTGTGAGATATATTGCAAATACTAATATTTACTATAAATTTCAGGATTGTATTTGTATATGTTGGTCGTTGAAACATTTACAGCTGAAAACATAAAACTCAAGGTTTATACTACTATTGGTTGGGGTGAGTTAACATTCGACTGTTTTTAGTATGCATCGTATGTGAATTTTTGACCTTGCAAAGCTTTTACAGGTTAAAATGTAACAAAAATTGCATTGAATTTGAAAAATAAAATACGTAATAATAATGTGGGAATTCCCTTTGACTTACATGAAGTAAATCCAAACTTAAAACAACGATTTCTAGATCATGCAAATCAAATAAATCACAGAACCGGGAACAATGGCAGTTAGCAAGATTGCCACAAACCAATATTATGTATGATAATTTAAATATTAATTTCAATATTTGTTATATCTAATAACGAATATAGACATTATTATTTATGCAATACAAAATTTTCTCTGGATGCTCAGAATTTTTTCAATAATGCCTTCTCTTCCCTTAAGCATGTATTTGCATTTTATGAACGCGCGCTCTAATATAGAACACGCGACATTGGATTGTCACGTTATTGCAATGTTGTCCTTAATTAAATATTGATTAAATTTAAATTACATATACACAATGTAAGAGATTGACTTCCACATTTTATCAGTGATTTTTGTATTTACAATCCGTTTAACCATTCCTTTAGCTACAACGTGTCTTACACATCATACAGGTGCTCCAGCAATATTCATCACAATATGGGTAATTTCGAGGTGTTTTGTAACCGTCGTTCCATCAACCGGTCCCGATGAAGTAAGTGAATTCATTTGTAGACAAAATTGGATTTCTGATATAAAAATATCTTCTGCAATATGATATCTCAATTTAATTTATATTTAAACAAGTTTCCCTTCTTTGTAGTTGGCAATCTCCAGTGATACAAAAATGTGTCTTTGGATTCATGAGCATCAAGTTGACTGGATACACAAAGCTCCAGCGTTGGTTGGATTAGCATTAAATCTATTTTTTCTTATCAGAATCATGTGGGTAAGTATATACTTTAAGAAGCTGTAAATATTTTATTCTAAAAATATATAAATAGATAAATGTTTAGCTGTACATTTTAATCGCTATTAAATAAGATGTATAAAATAAAATTGCTGTCTCAATTTCTCAGACTCATGAATTAAAAATAACTGTGTCCTCTTTTTAGTGTTACCTAGTCTTATTTATTTAACGGCAATTTTCAATATCATTATAATTTTATACACATTTTGCTTTTTAATTTTCTTAAACTCCCGATATTAAAATCTGACTTCCTCTGGCTACAATCAGTTCCAGAGATATGGGGAAAAGAAGATACACTTTCAGACATATTCCATAAGACATGTTTAACTTGTGGCACCCATACGTGGCACCTTAACGAGACACTATAACACACTATCTTTGCTTCAATTTTCAGGTCTTAATTACCAAGCTGAGGTCGGCAAATACTTTAGAGACGGAGCAGTATAGAAAAGCGACCAAGGCTCTTCTCGTCTTAATACCACTGCTGGGCATTACCAATTTGCTGGTATTATGTGGCCCCAACGATGACTCTTGGTTCGCGCACGCTTTTGACTACACACGTGCCCTAATGCTGTCAACACAGGTAATTCATTAATATTTTAGTATTAGGAGTAATTTCAAGTCGCTAATCAATTCAAATTTAAATTAAATCGCATCGACCTAATCAAATTGTGACAAACAAATTTTCGCACGTCTAAAATAATGTGATCATGAAGTATAAATATGAAAGTAATTCATTAATTTAACAAACCTTAATAATGGGTTCAGATTCAATAGTTAAACATATATTTTAATCAAGACCTCTGAACTGCCGTCAGTCTATTATCACCCGATCAGAGATAACCGCAGGATGTGACCGTGGCCACGGTCACTTTATTGCAACAATGTACAATTGACTCGCTGCCTGTGACATTAATAGTTCGCGCCTAGTGCGTTTGTGCTGCGCAATTTCACTTTGATCGATTTCTGCGATTCCTAGTTGTTGCTAAGTACGTTAACGGTGAGATATATATTCGCACATAGGTTGCCCTTAGGCGGTAGTATAAACGTACAGTAAAGTGTAAAGTTAACGGTTTTAATTATTAAAACATGTAGAAAAAGTAAAAGATTGTGTAAAGTGGGAACGAACCCACGTTTTCGGCATTCGCGGCCCACTGACGCTCTAGCCACTGAGCTAAACGGCTGATAGCCATTAACGCCTTCTTTCTAATTTTTATTTATAGAATGGACAAAAAACTTTCGGATTCGCGTCCAATTATATATGGAACTAGCACCGGACAGACGGTGTCCTGCACATACGACTTAAATTCAACAACTTATATAAAAAAATATTGGACTGAACATTAGCACTTAACCATTCTCGAATCGACCTGAAGTCACACAAAAAATTTCATTAAAATCGGTCCAGCTGTATAGGAGGAGTTCAGTGACATACACACGTACAGCAGATTTATATATATAAAGATATATTTTCCTAATTCCCCAAAACGGAGAGAGATTGTCATGTATTTCGAATAAAACTATATATCGTGTTTGAAGATTAACATTAGGCATAAACTCCGTAGACATTATATTACATTATCTTTGACATTGCGACTGTAATGCCATGCTATACGGGAGGTTTATCTAAGTGTATCCATTTTTTAAATTATATTCTAGACATAGATAAATATTTAAAATCACTCGTAATTAATTAATTACATTCATTTGAACTTATCTAAAAATGTGCGTGATTTATGGGCAGCTAATTTAATTTACGCGCGATCATTCATAACTGTGTTAGTTAGCACACAAGTTCGTTTCAAAAGTATACGACGCATTTATGAATGACTACCGCATTGTCAACAAGTTCTGTTTTTTAGGGAATAGCATGGCATTTTTTTTGAGAAAAAAGTTTGTTTTTATTTTAATAAACGATTATACTACCGAGTCTGAATTTCCTGTGTGAATTTGGGCACCCCGTACATTAAAAAGTAGATTTGATAGGGAAAGAATATGGAATTGCAGAAATTTATTATACTGTTTTTGTTTTTTACAGGGTTTCACAGTGGCTTTATTTTATTGCTTTATGAACACCGAAGTTAGGCATGCGATCAGATACCACGTGGAAAGATGGAAGACTGGTCGAACCATCGGTGGGGGGAGACGAAGGGGTGCATCATACTCTAAGGACTGGTCACCGAGATCCAGGACTGAGAGCATAAGGTACGAGAAATATTTTTATGTTCATTTCGCCATTATTCTATTTTATCTGTCCTACAATAGAAGAAGCACGTGTCACAAAAGCTTTTTTAGTTTTTTGCCATTTATTTGCTCTTAACAAAATTTTTGTTTACATGATTGGCATTTTGATTTGTGTTGCCTATTGATTTTTTGTATTAATCATTTATAACTCCATGCTTCATAACTTACATGTTTATAATTATGAAAAATGCCATAACTACTGTGATCATAGTCGCGAATACTCATCATGAGCAATCAAACGCAAACCTTTTTTAACCGACTTCAAAAAGAGGGAGGATTCTCAATTCGATCGCATATATCTTTTTATGCGAGTTTTCGGATAACTTCGTGGTTTCTGAACCGATTTTGATGATTAGTTTTTTTCTATCGTAAATATCGTTAATTTCAAATAGTTACTAACATTGGTTACAGCGATGTCAAAATAATTTTTTACCATGTTTTCTTATTTCCGTTAGGCTCACTGTGTGAAGAACTAAGGAGCCATGGTCCTACATAGTAAAACCAGATACGGTTAACGAGATGAGTTAAATGAAACGAAGAGCAAAAAATTAAAATTCGACGATATAATGTGTGGACTTGGACATAAATTTAAATGATTACTATTTTGTTATATGGATTATATTTTTATTTTGAAAATAAATTAAGCTTTTCCCCCGCTTTTTTCAGTGATTTTTTACTGCATAATATTTTATTTGATATCATCTATGCCATTGTACTTACTGCATGTCTTTCCAGTTAGAATTTTTTATGCAGAAATTTGACAAGCGAGCAGGCGGTTCACCTGGTCTAGGTAATGACCACTGTCCATGGTCATCTACTACCACTTTGGGGTGGCAGTTGCCTTCATAACCTTTAAAAACAGTGGACCACAGTTACCTCACTTCACACGCAACGCATAAGCATAATACTTTTACTTCACGCCCGTTTTCTATACGCCCGCGGTACTTCCCCGGACAACCCTGCAGGTAATTTTGTTTTAAATCTCCAACTATAAATATGATCCACTTTTAAATGTTACAAGAAATTTAATATAGTAAATGGTAATGATATATTAATACAATCTGTTTTTTTAATTGTTTATTTTTTTAGTACCTACTCATTATAACTTCATGTAAGATAAGGTATGTACCTAACCTTATCTTAAAAAAGCATGCCACGATATTTAAAAAAATTTAAAATACATTGAGTCCATACTTTTCACGTTATTACTACGTATCTAAAAAATTTAAGCTTGGAGGAATGAGGAATGAAAAAAATATGGGTAAGATTTTTTCAGTGACTTTATAATTATGAAACTTCTTCAATATTCTCGTGAGCTGAATTTATTGTTCTAAAAGATCTAATAACTCCCACACAATTGGGAGTCAAAATGTATACATATTTTAGGAAAGACGTAATTTTATCAATTTTCGAAAAGAAATGACAATGAATGACATTCCATTGTATCGTAACTGTTAATTTTCTTTATAAACATCATTAAGTCATATACAAATGTAGCCATTGACTGAAACAAAGGCGTGGGACAGGTTGTACAATCACCCAACAAAGCGCGAGTCGGCGGCTTCGGAGACGACCACGACCACCCTGCTCGTACCACGAACCTCCTTGGCGCCTCATCACGACGGTAGACATCTTCACGCCGTAAGTCTTATATAGGTCACCATTAATTACTTCTAAAACGAATTCATATTCAACTCTTTTCATTTTATCGGTGAAGATAAAATGAAAGGTCTCATACGCAAAGCTAAGTCATATTCGATGATATAACATTTTTCGTAATGATTTCCATATTTCCATATTGGCCACATCCCGCAAATAACTTTTAATAGAGATTTACATACACATATATCAATATTCCATCAATCATCGACATAATGCATTTTTTCATTCCTAATAGCAAATCACGGGAGGTTATTTTAGAGTTATACTTTTCTTGTTAATCAATTAATAATTATATTGCGAGTTACGCTGGTAAGATATATTTTTTAAATAATGTATATTTATGATAAATGAACTAGCGTATATAAAGAATTTGCGAGGAATCTAATTTTACTTATTTACTTTTAATCACCATCTTCTACAGATAGATACGTACAAATTACTCACACAATATCTTGATGTCTATGTGGTGTGAAAGATCTGATATTAAGTGAAATAACTTTTCAGATAGAATAATGTCAGATATTATTAGGAAACGAGGTGAAAAGCTTTTTAAATGGACGTATTCTCAGCAATCAGCATGCGTATAAAGTAAAGAGGTTAAAATTTGCCCAGGAGTATATAACAAGTGGAAGCGCTAGCGGTGACCAATCGCCGGTGTGAGGTGGGGGGCGGGGGAGGCTTTCCCGTCTGCGCACTCTACCTGAAGAGGTTACCTCTCTTGAAGCGCCTGCTCCTGCCTCTCCCGCCTCTTCATCTATTCTCCCCACGAGTCATCACGACCTCATCACTAATATAAATTCTACAACACCACCAGAATTATCGCCTTCAAACCGCGCATATGCTGAATATTCAACTTCTATCGATTACATATCCACTTCTGTCGACATTGGCGCACACGCATTTAGTAATACCAACTCTCCATCAAAAGGACATTGTGAGGAACAAAATAAAAAGAACGAAGATATCGTTCACGTATTTCATTTTTAAAACACTTTTGCATTAATACATACATTAATACTTTAAAAATAAAGAATATAGTATGTATCTAGCGGTAAAATGAACTAAATATTTATTTGAATTTACTTTAAGCAAGATATGAGACTCATAAATTAACTAAGAAATGTTAGATGTAGTGTTATAACTTTATTAATTTTTGCTGAAATCTTTTTTCAATGAGAATAGTTGGCAATTTCATCTAAAAATAATTAAAACGATTTAAGTAACGAACAATTGTAAATTTATAACTAATTTAAACTTTTACTCTGTTACTAAATTATACCTTTTTAAATACTCTAAATGAAGTTAACGTTTATTTTACTTACTCAAAAGAAATTATAATTGTGATATTTACCTATGCTCTTTTCAGCCTCTCTTCATTTATTTTAACTAAAATATTCATAAATATGTAAATACAATATATTAAAACATTTACTTACGGGTCATTAAATACGTAACGTGAACCTTTATTGTCTACTCCTATTGAATGTTGCCAAAGGTAAAAGTTATTTTAAGATAATAGTATAAGTAATAAACTAGGATTACGGGTAAATTGGGAAACAATACGCTATATGTAAAATAATGTATGTCATATCGTAAAATAACAAGAATAAGATAAATATATCTAAATATGAATGTGATTATTGTCAAGTAATGTTATTTATTTGGGAATTAATGTACAGTAGTCAAATAAACAAATCTGTCATTAGGTTAAAGTATATACATTAACAATTGAAAAAAAAAAATTCAAACGTTTCTTCTAGAAAAAAACCACCAGGCTTCGAAGTAATGTGTAACGCTTATACAATTTGTACTGTTATTTATTTAAACGTTTATATAAGTTGCACCACATTAAGTGAAATCATTATTAAAGAAAAATATTTTATAACTGACACTATTTACATATGAAGATATATGCATATACCATATTGTATTCTTATTGATGTAATGAGTATATAAAATTATGTTTATGTATGAACGTTCGTAATCGCTGTCTTTCTGTGAAACTAAATGTAATTTAATGTTTATATCTTTAATAAAATATTTGTCTGAACCGCCTTTTCATTTTAAACTAACCAATAAGCTGGTTACACTTAAATGTTTTTGTTACTTCATGAACTTATTTTTCTTTTCTTTATGTCATTTTACATTTTTTACAAAGTACTAATTATGTTTTCTAAATAGAGTTAATAAAATGTATTTAATCTGGCTACATTTCTAAAAAAAATATCTGTCTGGACACTTGATGAGTACACCATTGAGGAAAAGCATTTTATTTTGTCGAATTTACATTCATTCAATTGTATTTCATACCAACGCGATACCTGTTCTTGACATTGGACGAGGATTGTGGGTACGATGCAGTGAACCAGACAATGAAAGACAACGTCGGATATAGAAATTCTTTGTGGGAAATATAATTTTGTATATTGCCTGACGCATATTTATAGCTAACACTCATCGCTATTGTTCGAAAATAAAAATAATAAATGAAATAAAATGTTAGAAAAGAAAATCATTGCTTTAAAAAAATATTATTAAAAACAGGCCAAGTTACACGCGCACGAAGGGTTCCGTTCCACCTATAAAAACGGCAGTCCCACTTAAATATTTTTTTTATTTTGATTTATTTGTTGTTAAAGCGGCAACAGAAATATATGTGAAAATTTCAACTGTCTAACTACGATTCATGAGATACAGACGGACTTTTAGTTTTAATTTTGGATTTATTTTTTGCAGTATTTGATCAGATGTCAAAAATTGCTACGTAAGTATCAAAATAATATGCTATGAATTAATAAATTATAATACCTTATTATTTTAAAATTTTCTCTTAAATATAACATCTGTGGTACCTGTGTGGTGCGTTCAGAAATGAGATTACCGTGAGAAGGCTTTCGACGGGATACAGTCACATACATTTATTAATATACACGAAAAATTTGATGAATAAAGTTTTATATAAAATTAATATTGAACACCAAATATTCTTTAATATTAAATTTTACAAAAAATATTTTATGTAAACGTTTAATAAAACTCAATAACTCCGTCCACCCTGCCAGGACAAAAAATAACATCAGACATTAAAAAAAGTTTATTAATACATATGTAGTTATTATTAAGCTTTTTTTGGTTTTATCTTTCGAAAATTATGGTTATGATGTTTTGGGTATATTCTTCACAAAGTTATTTTGTTAGTTTGTGACTTTTTTCCGAAATACTCTTTGAAAGTATAATACTCTTTTTACCTTTCAGCTCCCCGAAGTTTTGTGTTACATTCGACTTCGAATTGTACTAAATTCTGGCCATTCCACACAACAAAATAAAATACTAATAAGTAAATAATGCTATATATTAATCTATCTTTGAATGTAAGGTAACAGACATAGCTCAGAAGGTTGATAAGCTGAAGTGGCGATAGGCCCGCCACAAGAGAAACAGCTCGTAGATCCGATAACCGCTGGGGAAGAAAGATTCTCGAGTGGCAGCCTCGAACTGGCGAATGATGATAATAATGATGATGATAATCTATTCTGAGCACTGAGAATCACCCGGCTTGAATCGGATTATGTCTCATCTCGCAGTCGTGGAACCAAGGAACCGCTTCTCATCGACGCGGTTATTGGCAAAATGGTTAAACGTAACCGTCGGAACCTCTCCGCCGCCTGGATAGATTACAAAAAGGCATTCGACTCGGTGCCCATACATTGCTAAAGAGGGTGCTCGAATTGTACAAAGTAGACTGTACAGTAAGAGACTTCCTCAGACACTGTATGGGGTGCAATGGAGTACGATCCTTTGTTATCTAGGCGAGCGGATGACGGCTGCGGAATACCGGATAAGGATACGACGGGGTATTTTCCAGGGCGACTGTTTGAGCCCAATATGGTTTTGCCTCTCCCTGAACCCTCTCGGCGTGTTACTGGAGGGCTCGGCTCAATTTCTTAAAGTGATTCAATCTTCACGGACGTTATTAGTTGTGATAAAGGACTTAACCCTCTATCCTTAGCCAACGAGCAATTCCAAGACCCGGGAGTACTGAACGTTTCCGATAGAGAGACCGTATGGAAAGAGTAAAAGCTCCACGGGAGGTTCTACAAGGCTCTACACGAGCCTTTCGTAGATAGTGCCTCCCTTAACTGGCTACGTTTCGGCGAGATCTTTGGGGAAACCGAAGGTTTTGTCTGTGCGATACAGGATCAGGTTATTAAGACGAGCAACTTTCGGAAATACATCCTAAGGGATAGCACCATCGACATCTGTCGAGCTTGTCGCCATCCCGGAGAGCTTCGGCATGTTATTTCCGATTGTTCCATGCTTTCTAACTCTGAGTATCTGCATAGACATAATCTACTAGCCAGAATCCTACACCAGGAGCTCGCTCTGAAATACGGCCTCGTGGAACGGAAACTGGCGTACTATAAATAGGTACTCTCCAGAGGCCGTGCTCGAAAATGACCGCGCCAGGCTCTATTGGGACCGTCACATCATCATGGACAGGACGACGATCGCGAACAAACCTGATATCGTGGTGATGGACCGGGCACAGTCGCGGGTATTTTTTATTTGTTCGACGTTACCATTCCATATGACGAAAACCTCGTGAAAGCCGAAACAGATAAGAAGACGAAGTATCTGGACCTGACTCACGAGGTGAAATTATCCCGTTAGTCGTGTCTGCGAATGGGTTGATCCCAGTTAGCCTCTCCGGACATCTGAGGCGACTGGGACTCCGGGACGGAACGCTACAAGCTCAAATGAAGGCGGTGCTGCTCGATACCGCCCACATCGTTCGCCGGTTTATCTCCCTTTCACCCTAACTCTCGACCGTCTATCCTGCCGAGGGCTTCCGTCTGGTTGGGTCCTATTAATATATGTATTATATACAATATTTATTTCTATATGTTTATTTTTGTTCATAATATTTATTTTATATATGCAATATATATCTAAATGGTTATTATTTTTTATTTATAAACCCAACCAGACGAGAAAAAACAAATGAATATCCCCCCTATAATGATGAAACCAATTGTCATTAAAGCTAGAACCCAGTTTGCAATAAAATCTGCAATCTGTATCCTCGCTTTGTAAATGCTGTAAACACGTTTAATTAATAAACTGCTAATATTAATATGACAAAATTTCGTTTCCCTGGTGAAACAATGCAACCACAGTTTTAATGAGACGGAAATCTCTGATGAAGGTATATCTCAGAGTTAATCCTGCAATAGATTAAATTATTAATTGGCAAACTGATTATTATAACCAAAGCCAATCAAATACATTTTACAATGGAAAAAGCTTTGAATTTTCGTCAGAAAACATAAACCCGAACAAAATTATTTAAGTCTTTAGTAATTTATCGCTTTAATGTAATTAAAGTAATTTAATTATGTCAGCTTTAATTGTGGTTCTATTTTATAATGATGTTTTAAGATAAGAAACCATAGTTTTGTTAGAACAATTCATAGAATGCCTACTTCTTTATTCATAAGTTTTACTTGAAAATTTAAATGAATAATGCCCTTCCTTCATCTTAATATTAGTAAAACTTTATAGCCAAAGCTCGAAACTTGTTACAGCACATATAAAAATTTAAAAAATTAAAATGAATCCTTACTAATATTATAAAGGCGAAAGTTTGTATGTATGAA